GGGGGGATGGGCGGGGAGGAGCCTGTGTGGGGGCGGTGCCCCGGGGGATGGGTGGGGAGGAGCCTGGTGTGGGGGCGGTGCCCCGGGGACGGGTGGGGAGGAGCCTGTGCGGGGGCGGTGCCCCTGGGGGAATGGGCAGGGAGGAGCCTGGTGTGGGGGCGGTGCCCAGGACTGGTGCGGAGGAGCCTGGCTTGTGGGCAGGCCAGAGGCTTGCTCCAGCGGCTGCCCCACGCAAGGAAATCTTGTAGAGGACCCGGCCTACACGCCCCGTGACTGCTTCCAGCGCATCAGCAGGCGTCTGAGAGCCGTCCTCAAGCGGAGCCGCATCCCCATGGTGAATACCAGGCCAGGCCTCATATTTCTCCACCTGCTTGTTCTTTTTTGATGACTTTTTTTTTTCCTCACCTTCTGAATTGGTGGTGGTGTGATGGGAGATCTTTTATCCAGTGCAGGTGGTGTTGGTGGAGACGAGGCAGAATACAGACCAGACCAGTGTGATCAGCGTGCAGGAACCAGGGCTGGGAAAGGGCTTTCCCTGAGGGGGGGGGGGCGGGGCAGGGACAATGCAGGTCGGTACTGCAGGATGTGTAGGAGTTCACCAGGTAGAAGGCACAGGAGTTCACCAGTGTGGCGATATCTCAGCCCTGCTATCTTTGGAAAGGGTGAGGTAGCCTCAAGTAGCAGGTCAAAGGCCACATTTGAAGCTAGGGCTTTGGGCTCCAAAAGCAGCCCTGGGCACGGGGCCTGGACAGCTTGTCCACAGTCTCACGGTTGGCCTCACCCCTAGGCCCGTTTCTCCTGCAGGAAACGCTGGAAACCTGGGAGGAGCGATTGCTGAGGTTCTTCTCTGTGTCTCCCCAGGCCGTGTACACGGCCATGCTGGACAACAGGTGACTGGGTGGGAGTGAGCGCTGTGTGCTTCGCCAGGGGTCTGGCCCTGGCCCGCGACCACTTACCATCCATTCCCCTCCAGTTTCGAGAGGCTCCTGCTTCATGCCATCTGCCAGTACATGGACCTCATCTCAGCCAGTAAGTGCTGCTGGCCCGCAGGACCCCACCTGGCTGGTGCAGGCCAGGGAAGCCAAGGCCAGAGTCATGCAGGGTCTGGCTACTCAGGGGGAGGCCTCTCGGGGAGGAGGAGCGGCATGAGCAAATGGTGGGTGGTGGGACTGATGATGACGAATGATGAATGATGATGCATTCATTCATCAGAGGCCCCTCGTGAGCCTGGTTCCATGCTGGGTGATGCTGTGGGCACAGATGCTCCTCAGTCTGCATCTTCAGGGCCGCAGGGAGAGAGGAGCCTGTGTGGCATCCGGGGCCCCCAGGACGAGAGGCAAAGTTCTCTTTAGCTGTAGCCCCTCTCCACTGTGCCACACATGTGACATTGACCAGTCCCCTAGGGAGGGTCCTCACAGGCCCTTGCTCCCTCTGGGTGCCCCATTGGGTCCTTGCTTCTCATCGGTGCCTCCTGCCCAGAGTTGCTGAGGAGACGGTTTCCATGGCAACCCTAGGATGGTTCCTCCTAAGTCCTCCCTTGGTGGATTTGCAGCCCCCATACCTCTCTTTGTTCCCACAGACTCGGGACAGAAGGGCTGGGCTGGGGGGTTGCTTCTCTGCCGGAGTTGAGCCGAGGCCTGAACCCAGAGGAGGTTGGGCCCTGACCAGATGGGGAGTAAGGGAGCTGGAACGGCCCAGGCAAAGGCCCGGAAATGGGACTGAGCTTGGGGTGCGCTGGGCTAGTTCAGGTTTGGGAGTGAAGGAAAGTGAGGGAGAGGGAGGCTGGTGGGGGCTGAGGTCCCCCATGAGGGCAGGGATGGAGGTGGTGACCTGGGGGCCCAGAACTCCCGTGGTCCGGTCACTGCTGCCCTCCTTGCCCCCTTCACAGGTGCTGACCTGGAGGGCAAGAGGCAGATGAAGGTCAGCAATCGGCACCTGGACTTCCTGCCACCGGGGCTGCTCCTGTCTGCGTACCTGGAACAGTGCAGCTGATGACAGCCCCCCCCCCCCCCCCCCCCCTGCCTCCCCCTTGCCCAGACCTCAGATACCATTTGCTACAGTATCTTTATTATTTTGAGAATTTGTCCCTGTAGACACGCTCTTCCCCTTGGGTGGCTCTCTCTCACTCTGGCCCCTTCCCTGTCCACCTCTCCCAGATAAACGCTGGGGGCTGGGGCCACCCGGGACTGGCCTGGCCTTGCAGCTCCCCGCTCTGGGACTTGTATTCGGGCGAGGAGACCCGGCCTGGTCACCTCCGTGTTCCTTCGTTCTGCTTTTCCAGCCCCGTTTGAAGCTTAAGCGAGGAGTGAGAGGCTGGGTTTTTATCACTTTTAATGAATTTGGCATGATTTGTTGTAGATTTTTAAATTTCCTTTTTGGGAAGAAAAACCAAAAACTTGCCCCAACTGATAAATCGGGGGACTTTGTTCTAGTCCCTGCTTAACCCCCCCTTCCCAGTTTTTGGCTTGGGGGGCGTCTCTGGGGCTTTGCCCCTTTTTCCAGGAGTGTTCTGTCGTGTGCACGCGCGTGCGTGCGTGTGTGTGTGTGTGTGTGTGTGTCCCGCAACCTAGGACAGAAGCTACATCTTAAAGGCTGGTCTTACCACCTTTTTGGAATGTGTGCTGTTCTCCCCTGGTGGCTTTTGGTGGCTCTTGTGGCCCTGTCTGCTCTGCACACCTCCTCCCTTCACACTGGGGGATCGGGACTTCCAGCCAGAAGCCTCTGCCCTCGGACTGCCCCATTCCCCTCTTCGTGTCCCCTTGCCCCCTCCCCCCTGCCCAGCTCTGGCCTGTTGCCTTGGGGTGTCCTCGCACTGGTCACCCTGGTGTGTCCCACAGAGCAGAGCTGGGGGACACCCCTCCCGTGTGTGTGGCTGGTTGTGCTTTGGGAAAAGTGGAGAGTTCAATAAATTTCTGGTGCTCTGGTCTCCAGCTGTGGGGTTTTCCTTTCCTCCAATGGGTGCTCAGGAGGTGCTTAGGTCCTGGTCAACGAGGGCTGCAGGCCTCAGGGGATGAAGCTTCACACTGAGTGACACCCCACCTGTGAGGCAGGTGTATGGGGAGATGCTGCTGGGAGCCCTGGGTCCATTGGCTCTGCTGCCCTGGCTTGTCCCCTTCCCAGGCGCCCAGGTTCAAACCCCAGCTCTGCCACTTCCAGGCTGTCAGTAGTCCAAAAAGTCCCTTGTGTGAGCCTCCCGGGGTGGCCACAACGAAGGGGCTGTGGCTTAAAACCACATGAATTTATTGTCTCCCAGTCCTGGAAGCCAGAAGTCCAAACTCAACCAGGCAGGGCCCTGAGGCTCCAGGGGAGGGTCCTTCTTGTGTGTTCCTGCTTCCAGGGGTCCCTGGCGTTCCTTGGCTTGTGGCCGCATCATTGCAGCCCCCGCCTCTGTCTTCCCCGGGCCTCCCTGTGTTCCTTCCCATCGTCTTCCCTGTGTGTGTGTCTGGGACTGGCCGGGGGTCCTGCAGGACGTCCGCAGTCCGGGTGCGTCCCATCAGGGGTCCCTGCTGCCCAGGCGGCTTCTGCCTGCGGACGCTGGCCCTGGTCCCCTGGCCGGGTGTGCTGGTCCGGCTTCGCTCCTGGGAGGCTCCTTCCCCGCCACACTGTCCTCGGGGTGCAGCTGACGCACGGGGGTGGGAGCTGAGAGCCGCCTCCCTGGGGGGCAGAAGATCTGTGTTCATTACTGGGAATCCTGCGGGGACTTTGGTCTCTTCTCCCTCAGGTATTCACTTATTCAGCCGTTGATATCAGTTGGGACACATGAGGATTTACTTTCTAGTTCGGGTTATGACCCAATACCGCTTTACTCCGTCGTCCAGATTGTTCCGGGTTCAGCCGGTGTCTGAGGCAGCCCATCATCGTGGGGTTTGATTTTTTGAGCCCCGTCCCTTCCGGCACCACAAGATGGTCCAGCTAGGCTTGTGTGTAGAAACCCCGATGTGGACGCTTGGATGTGCTGCACCCGTCTTAGCAGACATTTTAGAAGTTTAAAGACAGACGTTAAAGAATGCACGTCCACGTGGTGGCACAGTGGCCAGCGCGAGAGACGGGATCCCAGGTCCCCAGAAGGAAGGGCCAGCCTCGCAGGGCGCCGAGGACCGCCCCCCGTTTTGGCTGCAGCTAGGGCACGGCGCTGCGTCATCCCGCCCCTGTGCCGGGATCGCCGGGACCGGTCCTCCGCGGGGTAAAAGCCTCCACGTGCAGAGCCTCAGTTTCCCCACCCGCGGATGTCAAAGAAGAGCAAAATATGGAACGCTTCACGAATTTGCGTGTCATCCTTGCGCAGGGGCCATGCTAATCTTCTCTGTATCGTTCCAATTTTAGTATATGTGCTGCCGAAGCGAGCACAGCAGCCTGGCTGACCCAGGCACTATTTATAGTGCTTATAATAAATGACTTTACACAAAGGGTGAATTCTTTTAAAGCGGGTCAGCGACACATTCTTTTCTAGATTCGTACAACATATAGAATAACGAAATGGGATCATTCACTGAAGTGAGAAAGCGTTCACTGTTCTGCCAAATATAACTCAGGTGGCTTCTGGGACGCCACTAAAAGCCGTATGCAAATTAACCGGAAGCGGGGCTAGTCACCGCCTTCCCAGAAGTCTCTGGGAAGCGGCCGCACTGCGCGGGCAACTCGTTGATCCCGGGGAAGATGGCGGTGCCGGAGCCGGGGAGCTAGGGCGAGTGCAGGCAGCGGCTGCCTGCTCGGCTTGGCGCCTGGGCCGGCTCGGTGAGCGCGGGGCTGCGGGGGCCGGAGAGGTCGGCCAGCCTCCGGTCGGCGCCCGCAGCTGCGGGGAACGCAGCCCGGAGAAGGCGGGACAAGCGGGCCGGGGGCGGGGCCTGCGGGGTCAGAGGGCGGGCCTCGGGGGACGGCGGGTGCTGGGCACACGGCCGGGGGCGGGCGGGGTCTGGGGCTTGTGGCGGAAACTTGTGTGAAGCCGGGGGCGAGCTGGGGTCGGATGCGGAGAGCCGGGGGAGGCCGGGCGGGGCCGGGGGGCGGGGCTCAAGGGTAATGGGGGATTTGGTGGCGCGACCGGGGGGCCCTGTGTACGGCGGTAGATGCTGGCAGGCGAAGGGTTTGGGGTCTCTGGGATGGGTCTGAGAGTTTAGGCCGGGCCTGGGGGCTCAAGGGGCCATCCGAAAGCAAAGATTGTAGGGGATGGGCTTAGGGATGGAGGCTTCGGGGGCGGGACTTAAGGACTCGCAGGCGCTTGTGGGCGGGGCCTTGGTGTCCCTGGTCAGGGCTTGGAGAAGTAGGGGGACCTGGGGGTAGTGATTGAGAAAAATGGGGTTGATCGCACTTGTAATCTCACCGGACTCCTGTGAAAGAAAGGAAAGTAACCTATGATCGATGCTGGCACGTAGAGAGCCACGAGGAAAAGTTCACCATCATTACTTTTGTTAGACTTCTTTAAGTTGCACCTCTGCCTCCCCTGGAGGCGGTGTCCTCGCTGCTCTTGCTTATCTGTGGGCTCTTCCTCCAGGAAGACCCAGGGCCCGACCTCTATGCACACTGCCCACTGCCCTCATCATTGCTTACTTGGACCCGTGCATTCACCTTCACCCCATCCCTGGCTGTGCACTCCAGACCGCCAGAGGGGTCCTGTTCAAATGTAGATAGCTCACAGCCCTCTGGGGGCCCCCCCTCCCACTAGGGTGAAAACCTCCAGGGCCCTGTAGGACTCGCCCCCGTCACCTCCTGCCCCCACCTTGCCCCCTTTCCCTTTGCTCATCTGCTCCAGCCACATGGGCCGCTTGGCCACTCCTCCAACACCCGAGGGGCCATCTGTCCTCTGGGTCTTTGCACAGGTGTTCCTTCCACCTGCAGTGAACTTTCCCCAGACGTTTGCATGCCTTGTTTCCTCACAAGTACACTGGGATGTTGTCTTTCTGATTAGGCGTCCCTGTTCCTCCATGTTTATTTATTTATTTTATTTTTTAAAAGATTTTATGTATTTATTTGAGAGAGAGAGAGAGGGAGCATGAGTCAGGGGCAGAGGCAGAGGGTGAGGGAGAAGCAGACTCCCCGCTGATAAGGCAGCCCGACACTGGGCTTGATTCCAGGACCCTGAGATCATGACCCCAGCCAAAAGCAGTTGCTTAACTGACTGAGCCACCCAGGCGCCCCTCCCTCCATGTTTAAAATGCAGCTTCCCTTACACAACACACGAGACCTAAGGGCAGGGATTGGGTTCATATCATTCCCTGTGGTAAGCCAGCATCCAGCGTGGAACTTGGCATCCTGCAGGGACTCAAAGAATGTCCGTGTCAACCTCCTCCCTCAGGAGCTGCTGACCATCCTCATCCTCGGTGTGTGACCTGTGGCATGTGGGCACAATGGATCTGGCTTACGTCTGCGAGTGGGAGAGATGGCCCAAGAGTACCCACTGCCCGTCAGTGCCCCTGGCCTGTGCTTGGTCCTGCCGCAACCTCATTGCCTTCACCACTGACCTTCGAAATGATGACCAAGGTGTGCTTCCTTGCCCCCCAGCCCAGCCCCCCTCGCCTGGTGTCCCCATTGGGGAACTGGGTCTCCAGCCCTGCCTGGGAGTCACCCTTCACCCATGTGGGCCCTCTCAGGGTTTTCTCATCTACAACTGGGGGTGGTGAGGACCCTAACCTCACAGGTGTGCAAAAGGCAGATGCACTGCTCTCCTACACCTGGTGCTGGGGTGGGGTAGGGGGGAAGACCCTGGAATCACCCCTTTGGGATGGAATGGGGCAAGGGATGTGCGGTCCCCTAGGGCTTGGAGACTTGATGCGCAGTTTTCCAGACCATACATGTTACTATTTTGTTTTTGGAAGCCTCGAAATTACTTTGCTGGGACCTATTTTCTGTCTGTTGTTTAAACAATGTGTGCTTGTTGGAGAAAATTAGAAAAGCAGAGAAATTTAGCATAAGGAAAAAAAAAACATGGAGAGATGCTCACCATTAACATTTGGGGATCATTTTCTTCCAGTTTTTTCTACGTCTCTTCTAAAAACATGACCACGCTTGTGGCGAGGTCACAGGCCTGCTTTGGTCTCCTTGTTAGCACCGGGGCTGTCTACACGGTCAACAGCAGAGCAGCCCTCTGCCATCCCCGTGGGTGGGATGTTCCCTGGATTCCTCCCTGAGCCCTCCTGGGGTCATCAGAAGCTTCAGGGTTGTTATGGTTGCTGTGTTGACCGTGTGCTGTCCTCTGCAGACCTCACCCGCATGATCCATATCCTGGATACAGAGCACCCCTGGGATGTGCACTCCGTCAACTCAGAACACAGCGAGGCCATCACCTGCCTCGAGTGGGACCAGTCGGGTGAGGATGGGCCGGGGGCGGGTGGTCCTGCATGGCTGAGGGACACAGTGATGTTCATCCTTGATCCTGAATCTCAAGGCAACGTGCTCACTCTTCCTGGTCACGTCCCCAGAATACACAGCTGGGACTGGAAGCCTCAACCTGTGGCTTTGTGGCCACGACTCTTCACATTCCCCACACGCACATTGTTTTAGGAGCACTCTTGTGCCACTCCCCTGCTTCACTGCCCCGAGGCCTGCTCCTGCGGGCCCTGGATGTACTACCAGTAGCTGCCCCTGCCCACGGTGAGGGTTTGCCCCCTACAGGCTCCCGGCTCCTGTCGGCTGATGCTGATGGGCAGATCAAGTGCTGGAGCATGGCGGACCACCTGGCCAACAGCTGGGAGAGCCACGTGGGCAGCCTGGTGGAAGGGGACCCCATCGTGGCCCTGTCCTGGTTGCACAATGGTGTGAAGCTGGCCCTGCACGTGGAAAAGGTGGGTGTCCTGCCTGAGCAAGCAGGTGCAGTAGGTGAGGTTATTCACCCTGCTTGTTCACCTGCTGCTCCTCTCCCACCACCAGCATCCTTTGGTTTTTCTAGTACTGGGCCCAACTCACGCTTGCAGTCAAACTGTCATCATCTGTGTCTTCAGTGAGCCACCTATTTAACTGATGGCCGCTGCCCTCAGC